AGTTCTCGAGACATGAAAGTAAATTTCACTATAGGCGGTCTCTATCTGACAACGCAGTTGCATCTTTTAAATCAACTGTTCCATCTTTACTGTCCTCAGCATCTCAGAGGAACATAGCAGAGGGCAATATTCTCATTTCTAGCCCTTCACAAATTTATGCCTTAGTTCATAATGTTACTTCCTCTTTACGTGTGGCATTAGATGATGTTGCCCCTTTAAAAAAGAAGGTAATTAGGGACAGGAAGTTGGCTCTCTGGTTTAATTCTCATTTACGAGCTTTAAAACAAAACTCTAGAAAATTGGAGAGAACATGGCGCTCTACGCACCATGAGGAGGCCTACCTATCCTGGAAAAATAGTCTTGTGCTTTATAAAAATAAGCTTCGACAAACTAGAACTGCTTATTTCTCAGCATTAATCGAGGACAATAAGAATAATCCTAAATTTCTTTTCAGTACAGTTGCCAAACTTACACAGAATCATAGCTCTGAACCATCTATTCCCTTAGCCTTCAGCAGTAACGACTTAATGGGATTATTCACAAGTAAAATTAATTTTATTAGAAAGAAAATCTTTAGCATCCTCCCTAATGCGATCTCTTCTTCCTCAGTAAGTGAGGCAGCTTCAGAGGTAACTGTAGAACCTCATCTGTGTTTGAACCGTTTTGATCCAGTTGAGCTTTCAGAGTTATCAAAAATATTAGCTTCATCTAAACCTTCAACTTGCATTTTGGATCCAATCCCAACCAAATTATTTAAAGATGCATTTCTTTTGGTTACTGCCCCCATTCTAGATATAATCAATCTATCCTTAGTAAATTGATACGTACCACACGATTTTAAGGTTGCTGTAATCAAACCTTCACTTAAGAAGCCTTCTCTGGACCAGATGACCCAATGAATTATAGACCAATATCTAACCTTCCATTTTTATCCAAAGTCCTGGAGAAAATAGTGGCCATCCAAGTATGTGAGCATTTAAACACTAATGCTCTGTTTGAGGAATTTCAGTCTGGTTTTAGAGAGTATCACAGCACTGAAACTGCATTAGTGAGAGTTACAAATGATATTCTCATGGCCTCAGATAAGAATCTTGTGTCCGTTCTAGTCTTGTTAGATCTCAGTGCTGCCTTTGACACTGTAGATCACAATATTCTTTTAGAAAGACTTGAACATGTTGTAGGGATCAAAAGAACAGCGCTAGGCTGGTTTAAATCCTACCTGTCTGATAGATTTAATTTTGTTAATGTACATAACAAATTAATCCTCCAGGGTTACTTGTGGAGTACCACAGGGTTCAGTGCTTGCACCAATTCTTTTTACTATATATATATATATATATATATATATATATATATATATATATATATATATTAGTGGTGGGCATAGATTAATTTTTTTAATCTAGATTAATCTCACTGTAATCTTGGAATTAATCTAGATTAATCTAGATTAAAATGGCACATTCAAATTCTGCCAAAGGCATATGTGTGTGCTACCTAGATAATGAATAAAAGCAAGTCGTTGAGAATGGAGGCGTATTTCTTGTTTCAGTAATGCATCACAGACTGATAAAGCAGTTTACTACGATAACTGATGATGAAAATAAATAATGATCAATAAGTATTTGTGTTTAATAGCTGTTTATTCAGTTCAACAAATTCTGCACTGTAGGTCAACAGAATAGGTCATGATTAACTATTTACAGTCAGTAGCATTTGATCAATCAGTCCAAGCTCTATTTCTCCTTCTTCCACCAGTCACTCAAGCAGACCAGCTTGTTCACATTGTCTGGTGACAAACTAGATCTTCTCTTCTGCACAATATGGCCTGCTAAAGAAAAAAGTATATACAGTAGATACACACACACACACACACACACACACACACACACACACACACACACACACACACACACACACATACATACATACATACACACACACACAGAAACTATCTGGCCTGGGGAGGGGGTTAAATTTCTGGGGTGCCCTTCCGATGCCCCCCTTTAGTTTGCATGTAGGATCGCCTCTGGTGAATAGGAGCAAGAGCTGGAAATGATGCCACAGCTCACCTGTATGAGCAGAAGCCAACTGTTGCTGTTGTTGCCTCTGAAAATGGCAAGGGGAGTTATCCCAGCTCAACTTTTCTAAATAAATATAAGAATTTATGAGTAAAACGTTTATTATTACAGGTAAATTTGAATCGAAGCCACATGAACAACGACCTGTAGAAACACTTTATCACAATAAACATCTGCTAAAAGAGCTAAACTTAGTTGGAAACTGTACCTGTCTGAGAAAGTCGTCTCGGTTTTCTCACATCCGAGCGCTGCTTCGGCCGCGGACGGTGAAGTGTGGCCCGGGGAAAGCCCGGCTGGAAATGTCGGAGGTAAACAAAACAAAATAAAAAGAATGAAAGTCGCATTTATGGATTAAACTCTGGTTAAAGTACATAAATTATTTACTTGTCCCGCGCTATGAGATGGGAGAAGCGCTGCTGGTGGCGACGGTGCGACTGTTCGGCTGCATGGGGAACATTAAACTCTGCGAGCCTGGCGTCCGTCCATACGTACGATGATCCGCGCTGAGTACACATCCGCGCCAACCAGGTATCCATCCGCGCAATGTGAAAGTCATCATAGTTTATTTAGTATAGACCCAGATCCCAACCCAACTTTGAGAATAGATTAATGGCGTCATTTTTTTTATCGCGCGATAAAGAGTCTGGCTTTGCCGCAGCGTGTTAACGCCGATAACGGCCCACCCCTAATATATATATATATATATATATATATATATATATATATATATATATATGCTCTCAATTGGTAAAATCATTAGACAGCATGGGATGAACTTCCACTGTTATGCTGACGATACTCGGTTATATTTATCCATTAACCCTGATTAACCTAATCGGTTGGGTAGATTACAGGCTTGTCTTGAGGAGATAAAAAATTGGATGACTCTAAACTTTTTGCTTTTAAATCGACAAGACTGAAGTTCTCATCTTTGGACCAGAAATCCAGAAACAGAAATGGTGTTGGTCAGTCACCTGACCTGAAAGGCATTACATTAATCTCCGAGAACAAAGTAAGGACCCTTGGTGTTATCTTTGACCAGGACATGTCATTCAAATCCCAAGTTAAACAGGTTTGTAGGATTGCCTTTTTCCACCTTTGGAATATTGCTAAGATTAGATGCATCCTTTCCAGGAGTGATGCTGAAAAACTAGTTCATGCATTTAATACATCAAGACTGGATTACTGTAATTCATTACTCTCAGGAAGTCCACAGAATGTAGTTAAAAGTCTTCAGCTTGTCCAAAATGCTGCAGCTAGAGTTCTGATTAGAATTAAAAAGAGAGATCATATCTCTCCTGCCTTAGCTTCCCTACATTGGCTACCTGTTAAATTCAGAATAGATTTTAAGACCCTCCTTCTCACATATAAAGCTCTTAATAATCAAGCTCCATCATACATCAGTGATCTGATTGTTCCATACGTTCCTAACCGAGCACTTCGCTCTCAGACTGCAGGTTTACTGGTGGTTCCCAGAATATCTAAAAATAGGATGGGAGGCAGATCTTTTAGCTATCAGGCTCCTCTCTTGTGGAACCAGCTCCCAGCCTTAGTCCATGAGGCAGACACCTTGTCTACTTTCAAGACTAGGCTTAAAACATTTTTATTTGATAGGGCCTATGGTTAAAATCTGATCTTAGCCCAGATCTGGACAAGTGGGGGAGTAGAGAGAGGTGGGGTGTACAGTCGGTAAAGACGGCTCTCCCTTGCCCTTTCCAGGAGTGATAATGAAAATGTTTTACTTTCTTTAACATAGAAGGTGAAAATATGGTAATACTAGCTTGTGTGTGTGTGTGTGTGTGTGTGTGTGTGTGTGTGTGTGTGTGACTTGGTTGCAGTTTGCTGGGTTTTCTTACATAGGAAACTTTAAATTGGCATAAATAAACTGAATATAATTCAGACATACCAGAAGGGTTTCCAGCAGGAAAGGCATATTTAAGGTCAAAGGTGAGACAATCCTCTTCAGGATCTTCTACTAGAGCAGAATTTCATCAGTTACAGCAAGTATTCCAGGTCCTGAATCAGCAAAGCAGCCCCAGACCATCACACTACTACCAACATGATGGAATGTGTCAACGACCTCTGTGAGCCCATGTGACCCGTAGGGTCTGGGCTGAACCTGTTGACCGGTTCACTGAACAGAAACATCTGAATAGTGATCATTTAGACTTCTGTGCGTCATTTCTAGAGAGACAGCAGAGCACTAAGTGCTTAACATTTACTGCCATCTAGTGGTGAAACAGACTTACATCCATAAAATCACTGTAATTTCAAACCGGGAAGTTTATCAGAACGTTTTAAACTATTCATTTAAAAATGCACAACATTAAAAGACATTCACAGTTTTTGATTACTTTCAGCTACTGATATTTATTTAAAATGTTTGCACTTTTGTAAAAGTTCTTGAGATTTTACAGATAATTCAGTTTGGTAAATTTATTATACAAAAAAACTTTGTTCCTCTCTCCGGGTAGTCCAGCTTCCTCCCACAGTCCAAAAACATGACTGTCGCTTTGATTGGTCTATCTAAATTGTCCCTAGGTGTGAGTGTGTGCTTAGTTGTTTTTCCTGTTTCTCTGCGTTGCCCTGCAACGAACTGGCAACTTGGCACCAGCCCCTCCTGGACCTGCATGGACAAGCAGGTATAGACAATGGACGGACGGATGGATGAAAAACTTCTGTAATCAAGTCTGTAATCAGTTTCTGGAGATATTCAACTTTGTTTTAAACATTCTAGAAATGGTTTTATTTACTCAACAATGAATCGTTTATGAATCTTTAGTAGTCCCAAAGGTTTGTTCCCATGACAGTAAAAACAGTTCTTTATCTGCCCCACTTTTAAAGGTGTTTGACGAATAAAATGTTTTTTTATGTTACCAAGAATAAGTTTAAGAAAAAAGTTGGTTTGATACAAAGAAGTGTGTGTAACATCCATTTATTACCAACTTATGTGTCAAATCTGGAAATTACAAACAATGTTTAAGTCAAACATTATATTCAATATTAAAAAAAGAAATAAAGGCAAAAATAGAAGACAATCAAATAGGAAAAGTAAGCATTACGGGTGATGTCAACCTGAGAAACACCGTACAGATGATCAACTGTTTCAGAGAGAAAAATAAAAGCACAGGGGGATGTCAACAGAAAATATTGTTGGTTTAGTCACACTGATTGGAGACATGTTTATTTATTCATTTTTAAAAATCTTTTTACACCAAGAAAACTTTCAGTTTTAGAGAACGTTACAAACATTTATGAACCTTTGCTATAAAAGGTTTTAATTCAAAAAATAAAAATAAAAAGTCACAGCTGCTAAAACTATCTGACACCTTTCTGCTTTGGTTTGAAATGTTTACAGGGTACCAATCTGAACACCACCATCACATCATAAGCTGAGTGGGAAATAGACACCAATGATTAAACTTTGGTGTCAGAGCAAACCAGTAGCAGCACATTTTTGTAGAAAAAGTATTTTAAATCAGTCTGTCTGATCTGTTTTAGTCTGAATCATCCCCCCCCCCCCCCCCAACCTGTCACCCACAAATAGTCTGAGGTAAGAATAAAATGCATGCATGAGAAAAAACCCTGATGAAAACCATCAAATATCAGAGAAGTAAAGCAAACGATGCTGATGGACTGTGTAAAATCTGTGGAGGTGATCAGAGTAAACATTCATGCAAACACACATGGGAGGGTAGGGTGGGGGTGTCTACTGACCAGAAGCAAGAGAACAGGAGTGGGTAGGTTCTTCTAGCACCCTGCTGTAGAGACAACACCCCCAGCAGCAAGTTACCCACCCTCCTCTGCATGGTTCTAGCCAGTGTTTGATCCAGCCGCTAGCCTCTCCTGCAGAGCTGCCAACAGGAAGTAAGCATGTGTTTGAGGAGGCGCCATCACTAAAGAGTCGGTACATGCACAAAGAGAGAGTACCCTAGAGTCTGCTGCTGAGAGCACTAAGAAAAACACCACTATACATGTTCATTATAATATAATCAGCTTTCTTCTACACACTACTAAACAGGAGGGGGGGATGGGCATAATAGTGAAGGAAGAGGTGAAAAAGAGAAAGATCAAAGGGAAGAGAGGATGTTTAGGCACGCTCTCCACGGATACGGCGGGCCAGCTGGATATCTTTGGGCATGATGGTGACACGCTTGGCGTGAATGGCGCACAGGTTGGTGTCCTCGAACAGGCCGACCAGGTACGCCTCGCTGGCCTCCTGCAAAGCGGCAGCAGATGTTAGCAGGGTTCATTTTGTTGACAACATATTTTGTTTTTTGTCACAAATAAAAGACAAACATTTTTTGACAGCATTGAAATCCAATCAGAAAATGAAAACGATGTCAGGAACGGCCAGAAGAACCAATCAGCAAATGCTACAGGCGGGATGAGAGAAGAACCAATCAGGTCTGGAGTCTGCTGCTGTTTGAACAAGTACAGCTGGGAGGAAAAGACTTAGATGTGACCGTCCAAGAAGTATTTGCCGGGTAAGTACACATCCGGGTTTCCCCGGTTTTAAAAGCAGTAGCAGCGAGCGTTGGAGCCGAACTGAACCAAAAGCGCGGCGCGGTGGTTCGGTGTTCTAGCTGTGTTTTGAGGAAAAAAGCAATCAGGCGGTCCAGAAGGCCGTTCAGGCTGCCCACCTTGGTAAATAAGTGCAGGTAAAACTACTAAATACACCAGAAAACCATTCTTACCTTTAGTTTACCTTCTCGCATCATTAGAGTAACGATTGTTAATGTTTTAATGGTATGATGTCATTTCCTGTCAAGTTTACAAATATTACTGCACGTTATACAGATTTGTTTACTTCATTAATATTAAGAGACTATTTAAAACTGTCAGCGTGTGTACTTTCCAACAACTGTTTTAGTTTTTAATATCTCATATTGTTTTAAGTCTTTTTCAAGCAGGTGTGGTTAAAACTTCCTTTTCAGAAGTAGAAAATGACTGCATCAGAAGAAATGTACGGATATTTTAGTCGACTAAATTAAGAGTAAAACTAACACAAACTGGATGACTAGATTTGGACTAAAATTAAAAACGGCTTTCGTCAAAAGACTAAATTAAAGTTTCTTGTCTAAATTAATACAGGCTGTAAGTTCAGACTAGATGAGACTCTTTAAAACGCAACCAGACATTTTAGCTCGAACAATCAACAAAACGTTTTCGTACATGCTGGGATGAAAACGACCCGGAAATGATGACTATTATGGAACTACATTAAAGCAGAAATCTGAAGGGTTTTGAATCCAATGGCACCATCTAGAGGCTGACTAATGTATTGCCCTGTATGCCAGCGACTTCCGTGTTTACCTCTAGTTTTAGCTCTGACAGAGCTCTGGGACTGACATCTGTACTAAGCAGACTCTAGACCCCGCAGATACCCTGATGGAGGACTAGCGTGTGTGATCGTGTGACACCTCACCGAACGGTCTGAACGCCTGATCCCAGACCTCCGTGTTCAGACACTTAACTCTGACATTCAGGAAGAGAAAGCATGCGCCAGCATTATGTCGACACATTACAGAAATCCTCATTTAGATTACATCCGGGGTCTGTCACTAGAAATTAGTTGTTTAACCCTTTGGGCGCCAGAGTTTTTTCAAGAAAATATTCCATTTTGACCAGACTATTTCAAAAGGTGATAGCTTGTTAATGGTTAGAGATCAACATAACTGTAAATGAGAAAAATCTTCAGTAAGACAAAAAGTTTGTGTTGGGAGCAAATTCACTCATCTAAAAGATTATGATGTCACCAAGCTGCCATATTGAATGGATCATTTTTACAAATTGGGGTGGCACGATATTAGGAAAACCTGCGATTGTCGATAACAATGATTGATATTGAGATAAATAAAAACTTAACTCAGGAACAAAAATAATCAAAAACAAAGAAATAAAAAATCATAAAAATGAGAAAAACAAAAGATGATCAGTGGATCCCGGGAAAAGCAGGATCAGCAGAAAGAGCAGAACTAAGCTAACTCGGGTGTTTGCTAACCATCAAAAATATGTGCCGTCCACCTCGGGGGCGGGACTCTGACCCATGAGAACCCACGCAATTGGCTGAATGGGTGAAGAGCTCTATTTGATTTGTCAGGAAAAAAACCCATCATGCTTCCGTTTGACTGGCAGAATGCGTTATGCGTAGCAAACGTTAGAGCTGACCGTTCATTATGACATTTATCTGTTCTTTGTGATATACATATGGTGCATGCTGACATCGGGATAACGATATATTGTGAAGCCCTAATTCAGATGTTCCTTCTTATTTTTTTATGTTATTTTGAAACTTTTATCATATTTTGAAAATGTTTGTTTATATATATACATATATATAGCTTATTAAAAAATGTTAATTACATATATTTTATATTCAGGGAATCTGCAGGTTTAAGGGAGCCAAATTTAAGACTATTTAAGACCTTTTTTAAGGCCACTTTGACCAAATTTAAGCTTGTCGTCATCTTCCTCCGCTTATCCGGGTCCGGGTCATGGGGGCAGCATCCCAACTAGGGAGCACCAGACGGTCCTCTCCCCGGCCACCTCCACCAGCTCCTCCGGCAGGACCCCAAGGCGTTCCCGGACCAGATTGGAGATGTAACCTCTCCAACGTGTCCTGGGTCGACCCAGCGGCCTCCTGCCGGCAGGACATGCCCGAAACTCCTCCCCAGGGAGGCGTCCTGACCAGATGCCCAAACCACCTCAACTGACTCCTTTCGATCCAGATCCAAATTTAAGCTATTTTTAAAATTAATTTTAAGCTATAATTTCCAGCTATTGCCTGGAACCGGTGCTAACCACGTTGCGAACATGGGATTAGCCATCCAGTTACCATTAAACTTGCACTTCTCCATGGCGCAAGCTCCCACTAGCTTAACCAGCTAACGTGCTCATCTAAAAATAGTCCCCTTTCACAACCAACTGAATGTGTACGGTTCCGCTTACGCCAACATCGTACACAAAAAATGCTGAAATTCACGAAAATGTCATAGAAATAAAATAATCTAGTTTATTGGGTCTTTGGTAATTTAAGACCTTTGGAAACTGTATTTAAGGATTATTTGTCTTTTTTAAGGATTTTCAAGGCCTTAAATTTGGAAAAGTAAATTTAAGACTTTTTAAGACTTTTTAAGGACCCGCGGATACCCTGTATATTGTATTATTTGATATATTGGCCTCACTCAGGAGAAATGCTTTTTAGCCGTATTTGTCAGGATTCTTTGGGCTTGTACAGCTGCAGGGATGTCCTTCCACTGAATGTAATGATCACTTGATCCAAGGGAAAGAATATTTTTATGATTATGTGCCACACTGACTTCCATACATAACACATCTGCTGCTTTTTTTTACCTTGGCACCACGTCTGTCACATTAGCGGTGTTTTACCATCATTTCTGCATCCACCATGTCCCAGAGATGGTGAAACAAACTTCAAACCCAACATGCACCTCACTGTCGCGCAGCACCAGCTGTCTGTTGCTGCAGCAGCGTCAATCTTTCTGGCTGGATGAGTGAATTTGGTCATCAGAGTCAATATTCTGCTTCATAATCAGAGTCGGACATGACCAGACAAAAGATCAGTCAATATAAACCAGATCTACCGACAATTGTAAGTTTCATCCCTCTAATATTCGCCCTCCGACGAAAAACTCAAGACACCATCAAAATAAGCACACCCATGAGTGTTGCTCAGCCTGAAGTTACACATCTCCACTATCTTCTGGTGCAAGGCAGTAACTTCATGAGGGACCATATTTGTAGCTGTGGCTCGTTAGTCAGCAATGACGCTTGTCGCAATAATTTGGCTTCGGCCCTAAAGGGTTAACTGACTATTTAAGAAATACCAATAAATATAGACATTAGAGGATACTTAAAGGTGTACTAAGCACTAATAAACTCGTCTCAGGGCCTGTTTTCTGCTGGATTTATTCCATTACTGTAGACATAATTTACAAAAAGTGTTCATTTGCTGTGGATAATTTAAAAGTCAGAAGATCTGTTCACCACTTGTTATGATTTTGTTAGACACACACAACTTGGTGCTGTTATGGTCAGGTGCATGAACTAGGCAGAAGCTAGGCATAAGAACCAGAGAACATTTATAGGTGTGGAACACTGAAAACCCATTTTTTAATGATTATTTATGATTCTAACAGATCTCTCTGAGTTTATCATGCAGGGTGAACATGAAAACAGTCTCCTACACCTATCTCCTGCAGTAGCTTCTGACAGAAAACTGGATGGTGAAACTCTAAGATTAGAAAAGCCTGACAGATCCACGTCACACTGTCACTAACATTCATGGACTCGGCCATCTTGACTCATGACGGGGAAGGCTGTTGTTGGTTTAGCGTCCAGGAAACAGCAGAGAACGCTATTAGAAGCTAGCTGTTTTAGAAACTCGTCCACACAGCAGAACTCCTCCAGGCTGGTGTTATTTGTGGAGATAAAACATCAACGTTGCAGAGCAAACTAAGTCAGTGGTAGAGTCGTGCTGCTGTTAGCCAGTCGGAGGAGAGATGTCCAAATATCAGGACCAGTCCAAAATCTGCTGTCTGAAGCTCGACTGTGATGTGGGTAACTGGAAATTGTGCGTTTGTGCTTGTGGAACATTGTTCCATCTTAACCCAAAAGGTTCAGAGACACACACATCCTGTGTCCCACTGACCTGCAGAGCTCCGATGGCTGCACTCTGGAAACGCAGGTCCGTCTTGAAGTCCTGGGCGATCTCTCTCACCAGACGCTGGAAAGGTAGCTTGCGGATCAGCAGCTCGGTGGACTTCTGATAACGACGGATCTCTCGCAGAGCTACAGTTCCGGGCCTTCATGTAACCAAAAATATTTGAAAAGCAGAGTTGGGTTGTTAGGAGGGCTGGGCGACATGGCCCAAAATCAATATCATGATGGACGATGACTACAGGAATGCGCAGAAACAAAAGTTGTCCACTAGATGGGGCTGTCACGCATCTTACATTGAGTGCAGCTTCTTAAAGAGACATGAATGTTGCCAGCCTACACACATCTTTTCATGTTTTATTATCAGATTTATTGACATGAGAAAAATGATATCGATAAGAGTCAGAAATTTCAATAATGATACATTTTTGATTAACTGCCCAGCCCTAGTCGTTGGCTTAAAAATGAGTGAGAACCTGAAGATGAGAGCAGTTTGTGTGCGTCACCTGTAGCGATGGGGCTTCTTGACACCACCAGTGGAAGGGGCGCTTTTGCGAGCTGCCTTGGTGGCCAGCTGCTTACGTGGGGCTTTGCCTCCAGTGGACTTACGGGCAGTCTGCTTGGTACGGGCCATGGCTGCTACAGATCACCTTAAGGAGAGGTTGGAACAAAGGTCAACAATCTACTAGGTTTATTAGATAGGATTCACATAGTTCTTTCCTTGAAGAAATCATTTCATTTGATAAACATTTACCGTAAATCCTCTAATATTAGCCTGTATTGAATTAACTGCCGGGTATCATATTTTGGCCGGTGTCGGAGTCGGCGGAGGTGAATAATGGACGTTTTTTTATTGTGGCCGGGTGGAATGTGGTAACAAGCAAGTACGGGGGGCGGTTGTGTCATCCGTCTCACTTTTGATTTGCCAGTGATAGACCGCGAGGGTAACTTTAGCCGTGCGGAGACGAAGAGGAGGCGAAAATTTGATATCAAGTTCAAAGAGAACGTGCTGATTATGCTGCAGAACACCCTGGGGAGCAGTAGCAGGGGTCGTATGAACTAGTCACTAGTGACTTGTTATGCCTGTCATCGACTAGTCGCTGTCACGTGATAATGACCGGCAAGATGCAGTCCTCGGAAAAGACAGCAGCCTGCTGTCAGCAGGTGACAAGCTCCTGCGCGTCGGGAGGCAACGCGCTGTGCCTGAGCGTCGGTACTGACACCCGCCGTAAAACGGACATTTAACCAAATTGTGACGTTTACCCTCTTGCAATTTAACCTTCCCCTCACCCCCATCCTAACCTTAACCAGCTTGCGCATGCAAAGCTCTGATCGTTGACGCGCTCCAGACATCTGCGTCCTGAGCACGGCCACAGTAACATTATCAAATCAGGTGTCGTAATTTTGACCAAAATAAAAGAGATTAGACTTTTGTCACAAACGACTACAGTCAATGAGTTTTCATATCTGTTCTCTGATTGGCTGCACTTTATTTACCATAAATCAACTTTAAGAAACATCTAAAGAACGTTAGTGGAAACGCTTACGCAAATACACAGTCATGATTGTTTTGATGCTTGTTTAATTCGTGCTAACTGAAACAATACTGGCTACATCAGGATCAGCCAGGTTACAAAACCAAGTTAAAACAGAAACAGGTTATGTCGAAGGGAGAACTATCCACTCACACAAATCAACCCAAACCTTAACTGCCCTGTCGCCAAAAATGTGCGTTTTACAAAGAGATAAGTTATGAAATGACTCTGTGAGTTTTATGTAAGTTTAAGGTTATGTATAGGGTATGGGGTTGGTTGGGACACGCATTTTTTGCGAGTAGATGGTTCCAACTCGAATCTGGGTGGAAAATAAACAGATCTCGACGGGGGAACTCATATCAACATAACACCGGAAACGAAAGTTCAATCATCTTTGCGCCAGTAAACATACAAAAATACTCCTGATTACCAACAAGATGAGACACGTCAATCTAACACAAACGGCCGATACTATTGGCTAGTACACTACACGGAGCCAATCAGCACGCAGAGTGTAGAATGTAGGCGGGCTTTACAGCTGCTTGCCAGTGTTGCTAGGCCCGCCCACCTCGCTCTGATGATGGCGGCAGTTTGATGCGCAAACGGGATAAAGACCCAGGCAGAGGCGAGGGTAGCACAACAACAACTTCACTTTTACCAATAACCGTTGCTTCAGCGTACCGGAAACAGACAGGACAGCACAGAAGACATCTCTTAGAACTAGTAGATACGACTAGAAGAACCGTCCGGCTCCAAACAGCCTCGTATAACAGAGCTATAGCGGCGCGTTATTTGCAAGTGGATTTTGTTTTCACAGAGCAGCAGCAGCGAGGACTGCGTTTCTCTTCCGCTCCGACAGCCATGTAATTTACCCTCGCCACAAAACGAAAGCTTTGTCAATATCATAGCAATACTAATATGTGAGAATAAAACTTAAAACTGTAATAAAGTTATCAACAGATGCACCGAGTCGTAGTTGGGTGTCTTACCGAGAGTAAAACCTAGTTAATCGTCGGCCACGTCTCGCGTGTGTCTGTTTTGTTCTTCGGATCCACAATGAGAAGCTGCGTCCAGCGGGAAAATGGCCGCCACGTCAATCATACTCCGTCCGGCGTCGAGAGAGAGAGCTCACGCGCTCAGGACAGAGGAGGGCCACGCGGGGGTCAGCACGAGCCTGGGTTCAACTCTTCAATAATAATAAAGAGGATTGTTAGAGCAGCTGGGTTAGCCGACAGTAAACTAACGCGGTGGAGTTTCTCTGGGACTGTTTATACTTAAAAGGTCTGTCACATAGTTGTTTTATTTACTCATTTATAAATACTATTAATAGAAGAATGAAAGCAGGGCCGACCTTTAAAATAAGGATCTTATGGAATTGTTTTAACCAGATTTTGTGTAACATTGAACGACTCAGACACTCAGCTACTTTTGGGAAAACTGTCAATATTTTCAAAATTGCTGTTGTTTAAATGTGCTCATGATAAGGAGCAGGTCTTATGAGTTTCAACAAAAACGTCTCCAGATTGGCAAATTTCATTAATAATTAGGACCGAAATGCTGTACTTATATTATGGGATTTATGTTCACATGTAAGGCTTAAAAATAATACATTTGCTTGTTTTTATTTTCTTTACAAATTACATTAAATTTAGATCAGAAGAAAGAAGTGTTACCAATGTTCTAATAAAATCGAGTGAATGAAGCAGCTACTTGTAGTTCTGTGCCTGTCAGTGCACCCCAGGGCAGCTGTGGCTACGGTGTAGCTCATCACCACCAGTGTGTGAGAAGGATGAATGTTTCACTGTAGTGTCATTTGGAGTCCTGACTCTAGAAGGTGCTATACAAATGTAGGTCATTTATCAAATAGACAAATGAATAACATGGCTTTTTTAGTTTTGGCTCTAGTGAGTGTTTTGAGAAAAACCAGAACAAACTTGTTCAGATGCCAGAGGATGGTACCTGATAACATATACGGGATTGCATTTTCAAGGATTTGAATCCGGATGTGATTTTGCCAAAGATCTCAGAAACCTGATTTACAGAAACAGATTTTTCTTTTTAGCGCTCCATTTTTTATGTGTTTAATGCACTTGTCTCTTCATCTTCGACAACCTGTGACAAAAAAGTTGCACACCTTTCATTTAGGACTAAAATAATGACATCCTACTAAGATATATTTTATGAACGAGTATATATATATATAAAAACATGTATATAAATATATATAACATATGTTTCTATATATACACATATATACATATGTGTATATATATACACATATATATGTGTATATATACATACATATGTATGTATATATACATATATATACACATATATATATGTATATATATATACACATATATATGTGTATATATACATATATATATACATACATATGTATGTATATATATAATGTATGTATATATACATATATATATATACATACATATGTATATATATATATATGTATACACATATATATGTGGATATATATACACATATATACATACATATGTGTGTATATATACACACATATATATATATACACATATATACATATATGTGTATATATACATATATATATATATATTTACACACATAGCAACTCAAACGTTAGATTCATGTGTTTTGAAAGTGCACATGAACATTTGTCCCATGAAATAAAAAAAAACACCATGTGAAATTTCTGAGTCTTTGAACCACAAGAATCATTTTATTGTGTCTGAAAGTTAAGTCCAAAGTACAAATTTTGTTTCTTAAAAACGACCAAAAGCACAAATCAAAACCACAGTAGAAAAAATAGGTTATCATATCAACCTGAGAGAGGAAAACAATTACCTGGACATAATACCATGGTTGTAAATTAAAACATGATACAGGTCTGCTACATCTACGCCGTGGAAGTCTACCAGACCAAAACCATGCAGCGTTGGTGGTCTGAGTGACCACAACTACAAGCAGATCACACGCTTCTACTCAGATACATAGACCAGTAACAGTAAAAATACAACATTATTGTAAATAAGATAAACAAAATCAATACTTTTACAACAAATTTCTATCTGAAAAGAAAGATTATATTTGTTTAACAGTTAGATCTAAATGTCAATCATAATCCCGATTCCTATGCCCGTTTCACACACGACCCTTGCCTCCAAACACCGTATTCATCGAGGTAACAAAGTATTCCTGTGTTTTTACTAATTGGGCCCGAGTTTGAAATATGTAAAAATACCACTACAGAAAAGCTGCTACTAGTAGCACCATAGGAGACATGATCACAAACTTACGGTTATCACAATCATATGGTTTTTATAGATATAGATATATTTGTGTGTATCTAGAACCTCAAACCAAACTACTAAGTAGAGATGAAGGAGAAATTAGAGGACAGTGCATCATCAAGCATAATATTTTAAGCACGCTCTCCACGGATACGGCGGGCCAGCTGGATATCTTTGGGCATGATGGTGACACGCTTGGCGTGAATGGCGCACAGGTTGGTGTCCTCGAACAGGCCGACCAGGTACGCCTCGCTGGCCTCCTGCGCATGACAGAACATGCTCAAACATCTGACGCATGGATTAAAACCAGACTCAGGTGAAGAGTCTTCCACAGTGAAAACTGCTGACCTGCAGAGCTCCGATGGCTGCACTCTGGAAACGCAGGTCCGTCTTGAAGTCCTGGGCGATCTCTCTCACCAGACGCTGGAAGGGTAGCTTGCGGATCAGCAGCTCGGTGGACTTCTGATAACGACGGATCTCTCGCAGAGCTACAGTTCCGGGCCTTCATGTAACCAAAAATATTTGAAAAGCAGAGTTGGGTTGTTGGCTTCAAAATGAGTGAGAACATGAAGATGAGAGCAGTTTGTGTGCGTCACCTGTAGCGATGGGGCTTCTTGACACCACCAGTGGAAGGGGCGCTTTTGCGAGCTGCCTTGGTGGCCAGCTGCTTACGTGGGGCTTTGCCTCCAGTGGACTTACGGGCAGTCTGCTTGGTACGGGCCATGGCTGCTACAGATCACCTTAAGGAGAGGTTGGAACAAAGGTCAACAGATGACCTTACATTTAATAGAAATGGAATACAGTGTGAGAAAGAAACAAATTTAGTTTTATTTGTTTCATTCTTCTTTAGATATTTCAGTTTAATTGGCACTTTATTTATTATCTGTATTTTAAAAAGTAAAAATAAATAAAATAACTCCATGTGAAGCCCGTTTTTGAATAACAACCCAGGCAGCTTATGTAATGACAGCGTAGAGGGACAGGGAAAAACAATCTGAGTAGCTCTGCCGACCTTAACCAATCAGATTTCAAGTACTAGCCAATGGAGCGGGATGTGAAGAACCTGTCGACCAATCATAAGGGAACATTTACGCTATAAACCACGCCTTCCACCGTATTGAATGTGGGTTCGTTCGTTTCTTCGTATACGGCTTCCCGATTGCGCATAACGTTTGTTTATTCAACGCAGAATTGGCTATTTTAACAAATAACCACGTGACCCCGCCCGCATCGACTGCCCAGAATTCACAATCAAACGCATATGAAAATAATGGCTGGGCTGCTGGCTCAAACAACGTAAACGGGAAGGAAAACTGTAGCGGCAAACGAAAAGGATGATGATAAAAACGACGGAAGATTAGAAAAACTACTATATAAAACTCTATTATGATTTATGAATTTGGTACTAGGCATGGTAAGGAATCAACTGCCGAACAATATTTTGGCAGATGGTCCCTCACTTTGGGCGCATTTTCGAGTCAAATTCAACCAAGATCACAAGTGTTCTGCTTGTCCTCGGGCTGGCAAATAAAAGGTCGACCGCTCCGCGTTTTCTTTCTTTCCTTTTTAACCGAAAATAAACGAATAAAACGCATCAATTTCAAACTATCATGGTATGTACTGGTAGAGTACAGCTTTATTAAAAAACTGATGCATACCTTACCGAAGTTTGAGGAAGATGTCGACGGAAAAAATGGGAATTTACTCTTCAGTCTCCAAAGCGTTGTTCTCAATAAAATGAAGGGAGGAAGGAAAAAAAGACCCATCGAAGGAAAGCCAGAAGAGAGAGGTTACCCATGATGCATTTGGGATATATGGCACGCGAGATGAACAGCTGAACCCGACAACTGCAAACAGCAACACGTTTACCTTCAATCTAAAATAATCCTTTGTTTTGTTTTCAATGTTTTAATCTAGGAAAACTATTATTAGACATTTAGTTGTTTTTAACTGACGCGTGTGTTACATTTAAAATGAAAGGAACACCTATGTATTCATGGTTATATAAACAATACAAGCAAAGTTTAGTATTTTATGTTATTTTTACTATTTTAGACAGAATAAATAATATTTTTAAAACGTAAATTCAGACCAACACAATACTTATTTGTTTTTCTTTTACACTTAGTTGTATGAAATGCTCTTTTTGCAGGTAATAAAAAAATAACTACTTTTAAAATAAAATCTAAAAAATAAATGAAATAAATATTTCTGGTAAAATTGAATTACATGGTTTGTCCTGCAGATGGCGCAAACAGCGTCACTGACGTTAGAAATGGAGAAGAATGTATTTCTTCGCCCTTAAACAACAAAAAACGATGCAACCCGCTGGGTTCCACTGATAGGAAACTTTTTACTGATTGGCTTAATGAACTGACCTGTATTGGAATGTTTACTATGTGAAGAGATGACTGTTGTCGTGATTTGGCGCTTTATAAATTAACTTGAATTGAAAAAACACAAAACTCGCTGGGAGAACAACACACAGCATCACATCAGTAACGAACACAGGACTTAGAAATTAAACATAGAACACGTTCTGTAAAGAAAACCGAACAAACATCTGGCCAGAGAGTGAAGGTATCTACAATCAAAACACATTTTTGCATGTATGAACTTTGATGCAGTAAGCATATGAATGGATAGTCAATTAATTTAGATGATGACAACAGTGACATACTATTTCATGCCAAAATTGACATGAAATAGTATAATTTTTCATAATAATCATTCAAAAAAGCTGTAACTGAAGGCATCTGGCTGTTCATTTCATTTACGTAAACACCTGTAAATGTTTACAAGGTATCAGTGTTTTTAGAGATTCAGTTTAAATACACAACTTGTATCCACCCATAAACCTCTGAAAGCTGGAGGGGACAAGAGGGTTTGATAGTCATCAATAAGCTGTGTGTGTGTGTGTGTGTGTGTGTGTGTGTGTGTGTGTGTGTGTGTGTGTGTGTGTGTGTGTGTGTGTGTGTGTGTGTGTGTGAAAGCAAAAGTGAAATTTACAAATAACTTTACTTTCAATGACATTTATTTGGCCCATCCATTCTTTTATCAGCTGAAAAGTGGTCCCTGGCCATGCTGCTGGTGGGAAGTGATAGCCTGGCCACCTTATGTAAATATAGTAAAGTTTATTGTTTATAATAGTACATATGCTAAAGACAGGGTGAGTGCAAGCCGGTGACAACAAACCAGAGCGGAGCTTCTGCGGGTAACATCAGAGATCAACCTGAAGACGTGCAGCAGGACTAGACCAGGCGGTGTCTCAATCTCCCCTGTCCTCACAGAGACACAATGTCCTCCTCACTTCTGTAAAATTACTGTCAGTCATTCAGCGTTTGTGGCAACCTCATCCCAGCACAGGCTGTCAGTGATGGGCCACAGTCGGAGTCCTTCTGCCTCACATGGAGACTTGTGTTGAACCAGAGACAAATTCAGCTTCAAACGTGTTTGTTTCACACATTATTGGTTCAATAAGCAAATCTTTTACATTAGAAAATATTAAAAATCCAGAGCTACTTATAAAAAAGTAGCACAGCGACCACCATCCCGGCATGTGTTTCGGTCGATGACACAACGGTCCTTGCCCAAACTCGGCAATTATTTGCACACTTGTGTATCACACACTCAAAATATAACTGCGCACTTCCTCCAAGTGCACTTCACAGAGGACTGTAAGGCACAGTGCAAGTACTGGAATTGGGTTTTAGTAATATTGCAGAGGTGGAAGAATGAACTGCTGTAATGTTTAGTGATGGATTTGAATGACTTGTCTTGATTTTATTTATATGTATATATATATATATGTATATATATATATATATGTATATATATATATATATATATATATATATATATATATATATATATATATATATATATATATATATATATATTGTAGGAGCCATATGGGTCATTTCTTTTTATGCATCTATATCAATATCTATATCGACATCTATATCTATATCGATATCTATCTATCTATCTATCTATCTATCTATCTATCTCTCTCTCTCTCTCTCTCTCTCTCTCTCATATATATATATATATATATATATATATATATATATATATATAGAGAGAGAGAGAGAGAGAGAGAGAGAGAGAGAGAGAGAGAGAGAGAGATATTCAATTCAAAAATACTTTATTAATCCCAGAGGGAAATTGATTGCTGTAGTAGCTCAGAATAATAAAAATAATCAAGTCATCAAAGAGTTATTGTGTATTACAATGGCTGTTGGCAGGAAGGATCTCCAGTAGCGGTCAGTGTTGCAGCCAAACTGAAGAAGCCTCTGACTGAAGACGCTCTTCCGTTGTCGGACAGTCTTGTGAAGAGAATGCTCAGGGTTGTCCATCATTTTCTTGATTCTCTGGAGAATCCTTCTTTGAATTATCTCCTCCAGCGGTTCAGAAACTGCCGAAACTCTGGCTGAGTCCTTGAAAGGGCTTGTAGTTCCTCCATCTTGTTGGCCAGTGATCTCACATTGCCCATTATGATCGATGGAATTTCCTCTTTCTCTGTCTCCGTGTTGCTCCCGCTCTGCACAAACACTTCTTGTGTTTTAGCTCATTTGGGATTTGTGGCTTCAGTTGAGGTATTATTTCAGCCTTTCCAATGTTAATCAGCTGCTCCCGATTGTAAAACAGCTTGTTGCCATGGTTACGCATCATAACAAATGCTCAAAAAGTGAAAAAAGCTACAAAATAGCAGTAAAAATCCTCCACGCCTCACAGCACCAGAAACAGAAAAGTAAAATGTCAAAAAATACAGTTTTCTTGAGAAACTAGAAGAAAAAATGCCCAAGAAAAGGCTAAACTTACATATAGTCAACAGAGCTAATCCAACATGCAGCCACCCAGAGCAGCGCAGCATAATAACACATAGAACACAAGACCACATCATATGTGTGTATATATATATATATTATTGGCAACTGTCAAGCCTTTGAGTCGCCGAGCAGCTGAATAGGGGAGTGCGCTGTTCCACTCATAAGTCAAAGTTCCAGGTTAAAAAACTCCTTTAATTGTTATCAAAGCCTTAAAATCCGTTGAAAACAGTGATAAATAAAAGAAACATTCTAAGCTTGAGCGGTCAGCAAAAAAGTCGACTTCCCCCATCACCCACTCACTCTCTCATTCCCTCACCTGACAGGTGATAGCAATCACTATTACTATTACCGACACCATGTGACCCAAGGCAACGCCTATCCACAACATTCCAGCCCCTAATTATTACATTCTCACAGTAATAATTACACATCTGACACCATAACTCACACGCTACATCACATCACACCCAGTGAGACCACATATCATACTCAAAAGTCCAGCAAAATTGTTTTCTCATTTCTTCTCTTCTTTTCTTCTGTCTGTCTTCACATGATCAGTCAGTCATAGGCCAGAGGTTACCAGCACTTAGCCTAAATATAGTCAGTCTGTGACGTACGGCTCATAACAACAAATCAATTCAAAGTTAGCTATGTCACATCGTGTCAAAAAAGTCACCATCATGGGTCAGAGGTCTCCTGAAGAAGGCATATCTTTGTAACGGGTCTGCGCACATGGCTGGTAGGGGTCTTAATCCAGATCTGACGCACAAGCCCCTTTTCATCTGGTACAGCGCCGGTGACCCTCCCAATGATCCAGGAACCACGAGGTGCAAATACATCCACTATGAGGACCACATCTCCAGGAATAAAGTTACATTTAATCCTTCCCCATTTCTGGCGCCTCTGAAGTTGTGTCAAGTATTCCTTAGTCCATCTTTTCCAAAACAGGTCATATATATATTGAACTTGCCTCCATCGTTTACGTACGTAGAGATCGTCCCTCCGGAACAGACCAGGTGGTAACGACGGGTTGGACTTGAGAAGAAGGAGATGATTTGGTGTTAAGGCTTCCAAATCATTTGGATCAGTGGATTCCAGCGTAATGGGTCTACTGTTGAGGATTGACTCCACTTCACAAAGAGCAGTTTGGAGCCCTTCCTCGTCCAAATGCTGTGTTTGGAGAGTGGAATTAAGGACCTTTCTGACAGAACGAATCAACCGCTCCCATGCTCCGCTGTGATGCGATCCAATTGGGGGATTGAAGATCCATTTCACTCCCTTCAAGGACAGAGCATCAGAGATCTTTTGCTGATCCCACTCTTCCATAGCTCGTCTCAGCTCGCGCTCTGCGCCCACAAAGCTAGTCCCATTGGCCGATCGCAATTCTTGTGCCTGACCTCGTCTTGCAATGAAACGTCGTAAGGCGTTAATGAAAGAGTTAGTGTCAAGAGATGAGGCAACCTCTATGTGTACTGCTCTAATTGCCAAACAAGTAAAAATAACACCAAACCGGTTCACAAGACTTCTCCCACGCTTCACTTCAAATGGACCAAAATAGTCCACTCCAACAAAGTTAAATGGGGGTTTCTCAGGGGTCACTCTGCTTTCGGGCAACTCAGCCATCCGCTGCTGTCCTGCAGCTCCATGAAACCTTCTGCAGGTCACACACCTCGACATGATGCTTCGAATCAGAGTACCAGCACCAGGAATCCAATATTTTTGATGCAGCTTTGAGAGTATGTGGTTCCTTCCACCATGACCCACCTCTTTATGAACATGCTGTAGAATGAGATTAGAAATGTGAAGCTCTTTAGCGATTACGACAGGATGCTTGGAGTCTTCTGACATGACAGCCTTACTGAGACGTCTGCCAACCCGCAGCACACCATCCTCCAAAACAGGATTCAACTTATATATGTGACTGCTTCGTTTCACAGATTCTCCCCTTTGGAGACAAGAAATTTCTTCAGCGTAACTCTTCCTCTGACAGAACTTAATTGTTTGCATCTCAGCATCCTCAATCTCTCCCAA